TTACAATAACAGTGCTATATCTCCAGGACTTGGACTTTGATGTCTTGAATAGGAACTTACAATATGGTCTGTGGAGACAGAAGAGGCAGTTTTATTTCTTCTTCTTATTTTATTTTTAAAAGAATGAAGGATATTAGAAGTAAATAATGAACTATATAGATAGAATCTAAGAACAGAATTCTAATTTTTTATTTCGTGGCTTATCAAAACTCTGGGGTATTGGTGAGGAAATAGCATACATCTCTTGAGAACCAAACAAAATATATTTGACTGGGGATTTCTATATTTGATCAAAGAGGGTTTAGAGAAATAGAGAAATACCACATTGTACCCACCCATTCCCCCCCTGAAAAGGGAAGTGCAAGTGTAACAGTTTCTTACACCTAATCACAAAGAAAAAAAGGGATAATACATATAATATATATATTACAACCATATATGGATTTAAAAGAATAACCATGGGAGTTGCTTAATATCTTTTGGAAAAATAAATCATTCTATAGTGACCCTATTCAGGATTCAAAACTATCTATACTATATCATTACAGATCTTTCTCACCTTATGACAGGGTTACGACCCGATAAATTCATTGTAAGTTGAAAATATGGTAAATAGAAAATGCATTTAATACACCTAACCTACTGAACATCACAGTTTAGCCTAGCCCACCTTAAATGTGCTTGGAACAGATACATTAGCCTACAGTTGGGCAAAATCACCTAACACAAAGTCTATTTTATAATACTGTGGCAAATATCTCTTGTAATTTATTGGATAATGTACTGAAAGTGACAAACAGAATGGTGGTCTGGGTATAGAATGGTTGTAAGTGTATCGGTTGTTTACCCTCGTGAGGGCGGTGCTGACTGGAAGCTATGGCTCTGCCACTGCCCAGCATCAGGAAAAAGTATCCTAACACACATTGCTAGCCTGGGAGAAAATCAAAATTCACAATTCGAAGTACGGTTTCTACTGAATACGTATCGCTTTCGCACCATCGTAAAGTTGAAAAATCATAAGAGGAACCATCGTAAGTCAGGAACCATCTGTATACCATAACACTAGTAGGGTTGTATACTATAACACTAACTATATCGAATTTCTCATGTCCCAATAACTCAGGAGTGGAAAAATGACAAAACACAAAACAAAATTTTTTTAAAAAAACCTTTTTATGTTTCTAATCACACAGTGAAACTGCTCTCTTAGAACTAATCAGTGACCAAGTCTAAAGGAAATTTTCCTGTTCTTATCTTAACCTCTCCGAAACATTCATCAGTCTGACCTCTTGCAATTCTCTTTACTTATAGGAAAAAAAAATCATTCCCTGGTGACCCTATTCAGGATTAAAAACTCAGCTTAAATGCCATCATCTTCGTAAACAGTCTTCAGCTACTTCTCTGCTGCCAGCAGGTGTTTGCCCCCTCTTGGATGCTGTCATAGGACTTAAACATCTATTTAATGCATTCCATTGTCTTGTTATTATTTATACAAGTTTCTGTCCCCTGCCAGACCGTGATTCTTAAAAGGTAGATACTATGTATTCTTCATGTTTGTGTTTCTACCAGCCAGCGCAGTGTTTACTACAGAGCAGGTGCTCAAAATAAGTATATAGCGAATACATGATATTTATATATATAGATCTATGTATGTATGTATGTATGTATGTATCTATCTATCTGTTTATTTATCTGTGTTAGCAGGTGAGTGGGTCAGGGGCAATATTTATGGGTGCAGGTCTCTTTCTACTAATGCTTAGAGAATAGATAATAAGCAAAATGAGCTTGAATTGTTTACACAGGCAATAAATTTGATATCAGCAATATCACCAAGACTTACTAGACCGCGACTTAACAGGCATTTTGCATAACTTGTGGAAATATCAAGACGATGCACAAGAGAACAGCATATAAAATCAGGGACAAGTGTGAAGCCTGGTACAAACTTGAAAGTAACATTATCACAAAGGCTACAGTGCAGAATGAGCTGAGGCTATGTGAAATGCAACTAGCAATGGAAAGGATTTCAAAGATTTAGGTTTTCAGCATAAGAAAGAATTGTTCTACTGCTTGGGGAACATTAAGACATGATAAAGAGAATATAAAAAAAAAAAACAAGAAACACCCCTCTTATTTCTACCTTCTGCCTTAGGGAGGGTTGTCTTCACTCTGGGAAGGTTAGAAAAGGCTTATTAGTATGGCACCGAAACGTCAGACAGGTGAAGAGATACCGAGTCAGTCCTTTAAATGACTTCAGATGAATTATATTGCAAGGATTTGTGGTGTGCCCTTGGAACCCTCACCAGAATTCCTGAAGTATTATGGAAAGCAGGAAGAGGGCCAGAAATCTTTGTTTGTTAATAAAATTTATTTATTTTTTAAAAAATACACACTATGAAGGCAAACCATATCTGAGTCGCTAGTTATTAAACACATGTTTTTGAATACTTAGGTAAGAAAGAATTGCACGAAGAGACTTAGATGTGCTCATTTAAAACAAATCAAATCCAGATGGATGAATCAGAAAAATTCTACAGACAAGGTCTCTTATCTTGGCAAGGCGATTGCAAAGTTTTTACAGTTGAGGAGAACATGAAAAATTGTGGCACAATTAAGATTTTTCATTGTTGGCTCGGTAAGAATAATCTTACCGAATAGCTTTGATTAATATACCAGCATCAGCTTGGGTAACTCTAATAGTATTTTAGAGAATTTTATTCTCAGCCCTGTTAGGTCAAATGTTTATTGATTACAGGGATGAAGATATGAGTTATGCTTTAAATTAGATAAAGCTGGCAGGCATTGATAACTTTTTAGAGGACGAAATCAAGTGTTCCATGTATCTGGAGTTAGTAGGATGATAAATATGAGTAAAATTCAGATTCCTCTACTTTGTTTCATATAGTCAGGGCACACAGTCAAGATGAAGAGAAACAGTTAAATAGTAACGTGTACCAAAGAGACCATGGTTCTGAACGGCACGGGAGTTACAAACTCATAAAATAATCCAATAGGAGTTATATGCTTTCTGCCCTACAGCAGACACAAATTCATATTCACACTAAATACACAGGGATCATAGATTTTCTGGATATCACATCCATGTACCCCGTAAATTCTAAAACCCCAGATTAAGAATCTTTTGATAGGAGCACCTTATTGTGGTACTCCAAGATACTAATTCACGTTTGGCCTCCTTAACAGGTATATAATGTCCAGAATACGAGGGTGTGCTGATCTTGTTGTACAGATTGCATATATAATACTATGCTTATTGCCGGGTCAAATTTAGGCATAACGAAATCAAGACAAGAGAAACTAGACTGGTGAACGGTCAGAGAATCATACTGTTTAAGAAACATCTGGGGAATTTTATGCCTAGGAAAGAGACCCCCAATAAGGGATCCAATAATTGTCTTTAAAATTTTGAAGAGATGTAACTTGGAAAAAGAGTAGAATTATTTTGTCATCCAAAATTGGGGAGAAAAAAGGCCCACGGCAGAAATTACAGGAAGGCAGATTTGACTTCTTATCATATAAGGAAGGTACACTGAATATTTGGATTCATGTAAAAATGGAAAGCTATGCTTCATAAAGTCATGATGTCTCTGTCAATGGGAGTAGTCAGGTAAAGTCTAGTTTATCTCCTGCCTGAGGTATTGGGGAAGGGTGCATAGAGTAGGAAAAGGGGGCACTGGATTATCTTCAAGGCACCTTTCAAATTTAAGATGCTATGATCTGATTATATGTTTTAAAGAATACTAAATGACTAAAAGTTCCATAATTATTTTTGTTACAGTGAACAATAAGCAATAAACCAGTATGGATACCTATTATTGGATGCTTCTGAGTCTACCTGAATTTATATCTGTTACGCAGATTCTTCATTTATTTTCACTTAAATTTCTCAAATTATATTTTGAAAGATAATGGTAATTTCCTAATGCAAGTGCACCTATAAAATCTCCCATTTTAAAGAAGATTTTTTAAAAAATTGTCCTTGGGAATTAGAGAAAAAGAAAATTAAGGAAGTTCACACAGAAGTTGCCTTTGTATTATAACCCACTACACATCGATAAAATATGTAATGAACTTCAATCTTGACTTCTATTCCATTACTTTTATTAAGGCCTGTAACTCAATTCAGCCTGTATTTTATGTGGTGCAGGTATAAATTTGAAATTCACTAAAGTATTTTTAATGTTGAATTGGACTTTAATGTTATATTTGGAAGCTATATTTCAACCACCTTCTCTTTTTTTCCTGACTGGATGTTATAGTAACATAAAAGCAGCCGGAAATCTAAAGCTTTCCTTTTGAAGAAAATGTTATTAAAAATGAGGGGCCTGACTTAAGACAGTGGACAATTTAACAGTTTATACCTCTAAGAAATGCTTTCAAAATTATCTTATGTTCCTGTCTCTATCATTGCAAAACTATATGGGTTTAAGATACTCTGCCCTTTAAAAATTTTTAAGAGGAAATCTTTTTCACTCTTTTGAGAAATTTCAACTAATTAAAGGAATTTCCAAACAAATGGAGCTTGACATCTTACAGAAATTATATATTTTACTCTTTGTTCTGTTGATAAACATTTTCATAAACCATTGTAGTAGATGGAAAAGAACATAATATCTTTACCGTTGGACTAATTGATAAAATGGTGAAGCCCTTGAAAATGTCAGGCTCTTGGTAAGCAGAGGTGAGTACAAACCAAAAAATTAAAAAAAAAAAAATTTCACTCTTACTTTAAGTGTGTACGTTTTACAGTATCTCATCTTTAGAATTTAATAAAGTTAGTATTGCTACGAACGTGAAGTGAAGAAAAACTTTCTCCTTAACATTAAAAGCATCATAACAGAGATTTGCTTTCTGCTCTACCTTACTTGGTTGGGAGAAGGGTGGAGAGAGAGAGGGTGATTAGTTCTTTATTTCTCCCATTCTTTGATGGCTTGCTTCTCTTTGATTTCCTTATCCTCTACTTCTTTCTTATCTTCAAGAGTTCTACAACCATCTCCACTGATCATATGCTTTCCTCCCTTTCCATCGGGACTCTCACTCTGGCTGTCCCGGAACTTCCAATCTTCCCACACTGGTCAGCCGTTTCTCACGCATCTTGGACTCCAGGACCCAGAGAGTAAGACTTTTCCAAGGCTTTCCTTCCAAATTATGTTTGTCATGTCTTGGGACCTGCCTCTTCCCAAGTGCTAGCACATGGAAGGTCCACTGCCCGACTGGAGGAGACCTCAGCTTTCACAATCTAGGGTTTGTTTGTTTGTTTCCATACCCAATGGCCTCTTTCCATCAGTTTTGACAAAATAAATTACAATAGATATTTTTTTATATGAGTCCATTTTTATGAGTCCATTTTAGACTCAGACATGGGAAATGTGGGAAATGATAGGAGCGTGGAAGGCAGAGTAATTTTATCATCAAGTTGAACAGATTTGTTTCTAAAAGTTTCCTGTCACCTTGAAAATTTTAAAATTCTAGAATGCAGCTCCTTTTCTCTTGGGGTTCATGTTAATCCCTTCTCTGAGGTATTAGGGCCAGAAGAGTGTAGGGCTGGAGACTCCCTTTTCAGATGACAATAGTAATGGTCATATAACATTGCATAGTTTAGAAATATTAAGTATGGCCTAGGCCTTGGTCTGTATTCCCAGTCAGTTTTTCCAATGTAATCTTGCAGTTCCTTAAAGATAAAAAATGAGGGATAATATGTCTTTGAGAACATGTGTAGGCCTTTTAAGATCTATAAATGCTGCTTATAAATGTATATAATATCATAATTACTATCAACACTAAGGCTTCTTAGCTAATATAAAAGGTTTCAAATATGTTGTATTAATTTTTTAATTGGCTAGGAACTTCTGCACTCTAGACATATCCATATGAGCTTAGGAATCTAGATTTTATACTCTCTATACACATACATATTTTTTCTCGTTATGGTTTTCACAACACACTAGAAAGAATACATTATTCCTTTGTTAGAGATAGGAAAACTTTAAGCACAGGGACACCAAATTAGTTTTTAGCTCACTTCTCTAGTTTGTAATATAACCAATGCTGGTACCTAATATTCTTGATTCCAAGCTCAGGGTGTATTCCAGTATACATCCATGAATAGTAATTTGGTAGTTGAAAAGAGATTAAAAGTTAAAAGTAAGAAAAAGAATAGGAGATGGAGTCCTTTATACTCCTTTATAAAAGAATAGAAGTCCATTATACATAGTTCTAGGAACTCCTCACCTGTCAGAATCAAAGATATTTTACCGTAAGCAAAGTATTTAATAATATAGTCACATTCTCAGAATAAATAATTTCTTCTTTTTCACCACAGCTCTTATTAAGCTACAAAAGATGCCACATACTATAGGTTTACAAAAGAGGCTCTTAAAAGAACAAATGTATCCAATTTTCTCTGTTGGAAACAAAGGCTACTATAACAATAAACTCCTTAACAGTTCGGTAACACAGAGCTTCTAAAAGAAGAGAGCGCCGAGTTAGAATGTGTCTTTTCTGGGTCATGATTAGATACTATATGAATTTCCCTAGCGATGGTAACAATAGAAAGACCAAGGTTAGCTTGTTAAATGAAATGTGAGTGAGAAGGGGGCAGTGCCAAGTGGCTGCTGGCACAGTGTTAGGTGTCCTGCCAGCGTTCAAACCCACAGGGTCATTTGGCAGTCAGGTGTTATTAGTCAACTCTCTCCCTCTCCCCTCTTCCCATCTGTTTTCGTCTAGCCTATTTGTGTAAATTACCTCTCAGTATGCAGCAGGATTCAGACTAGCCGTGTATTTTCCGCCTCCTCCTTTGTCTTTTCCATCCCTGACTGCTCATTTAGACTTATACCAATCATTTGACCCAAAATTTAGTGTGAGAGGCAAGATAATGGTAGCAATTAATATTACTACTGTTACAAAGCAGCATCGCTTATGACTGCGTTAAAAAGACCACTAAAGATAATATAATAAATGTCAAAGACATAGTAGCCACTGGCCATTCCACGTCATGATGATTATCACCAGAGGTCAACATGTAACAATGCCCTAGAAGAGGATGGAGAGGTTATATAATTTTGTGTGGACAATTTCCAAAGTTAATATCCAAAAGAGATTCTTGAAGAGAGCGCTCTTCCTAGTTTAAGAATAGCAAGACCTTTTAGAGAAGATGAGAAAAATAAAATCTGCTTTCTGCTGAGTCGACCCTGCCATTTATTAACATGCAGAATGCCCACTTCTCTATTATTCCAAGTCATTAGTATACCTTTGAATTATGTCTGAGTGCTACGAGGAAAGGTAGGAAGCCCAGCCTGCATTACTCAACCAGCACATTTACCACAGGAAAGATTAAGGGTAAATAATTATTTTTATGATAACAGCTGACAACAAGGAATTCTTACTTTGAGAAGGATTTAAAACTGAAAGGATTATTTGCTAAGGACAGATGACAATAAATCATAGCAAATAATTCTGCAGCTGCATTTTCAACAATAATGAATAATTAGTCACGTTGCAGCAATAGTTATGGGAGTGCACTATTGATATCTAATTGCAGTTTACATGAAATCATAGAAAAGTCAATCATCTGAGAACTTTCTACTCTTTACTAATCAAGAGCACAAAGATATTTAGCCAGATTTACTGCGTTTGTCAAATAGTTTTTATCACATTTTTGACCAAAGATTCAGCCCATGTTTTTAGCCCATCGTTATTTTATCATTTATGGATGAATTTAAAATAAAATGCAAATAGTCATGTACTGCAAACAATTGGTCCCAACTTTTAAAAATTTTAAAATACCTCAAGGTTGGGAAGACCCTAAAAGTAATCTCAATTCACCACTCATTGAGTAATTTATCTCCTCTGAAATGGCTCTATAAATAGGTTGTCTAGTCCATATTTAGATATTTCTAATGACAAGGAGCACACCATTTTCTGAGGCAGAAGATCACATATCTGGATAATTCTGGATCTTTGTCTATCAATACCCATATATGTTCAAATAGATCACTCAATATTTGCCAAATGGTTTTTCCTTCCCCAAATCCAACTTTAAAATAATGTAATGATTATGATTATCCAATTTTTAAAGAAATAAGAGCTCTGGTAGGAAAAGTGCCTAAGAATAATGATAAAATAAACTATCTTTGCAAACAGGCATTTGGAAGTGACAACTGAGCCTGAGGTACAATGAAGTCGTTGGCAAAAAATTGTACGTTATTCATAATAGCAAAATAGTAAACTAGCTATATGTCTAAAAGAGAGGAAATATCTAAAAGAGAGGAAAATAATTATGGTACATACCTAGGGAACTTTTGAAACAATTAAAAATAATGGAGTACACCTGTATGTTACTAATATGGAAAGATCTGTAAGACTTTGGAATCATATACAACATGAAAAAGGAAGATACTGAAAAATCTATATGATATATTTATGTAACATAAAAAATTTTGTGTAAAATAAAAACTAGCAACTGATGTAATATATATGTCTATTTGCATTAATAAATAAATGCATAGAAAAAGATGTAGGAGGACATATAACCTAAAAATTATTAACAGTGCTAACTCTAAGGAGTGGCAAGTATTTTGGAAGGGTAAAGAAAGAGTAACTTTTTACTCTATGTACTGTTTTGCTTGGGTCATTTCTTATTTTAAAATATAAGATTGGACACTATAAAGGATTTTGAGTAATAGAAGTACCTGTCATTGTACCTTTTGGAGTTTAGATATCTTTTCTCTTCCTATTTTTTTAATTATAATTTCCTGATCTTTTTGTTCAATTTGATACATAAAAGTGTCTCACGTCCTGTCTGTGGACATCGCCATTTGATTGTGGGTATCACCTTCTGTCTGTGAACATCACCATTGATATAATCTAGTATAATGACGATGGAATGTTTAGCATGGCTCCTTTTTCCTCCTAGGTTATCTCTAACTGCTATATACATTGCAGTTTCCTTTTAATTAAAGCCATGATTTATAATGTCCAGGGTTGTTTATTATTCTCTTATCTTTCTTACACATATCCACAATTTTTCACTTTACTACACTAGGATAATTAATACATCTTACAGCCAAGAAACGAGTTGATAAATACTCCTTATCACTTTATCCTTCTAGACTAAGAGTTGGCAACTTTTAGGGTAGAAGGCCAGATGTTAAGTATCTTAGGCTTTGTGGTCCATATATGGTCTCTAGTCTCTGTCACATATTCTTCTTTTTTTTTTTTAACATCGTTTTAAAAATGTGAAAAATCATTCTTGGCTTGTAGGTGGTACAAAAACACGGCACAGGCTAGATTTGACCTAAGGATCATATTTGCCAACACATATACTAGATAATCTCTCTATTCAATGTCCCTTCTTCCTTTATCCTTATTATAGACATTATGCATAACAATATGGAAAGAATATAAATATTTCTTAAAATAGAGTTCCCTGGACTTAAAGGAAATTTCAGTGGAATTACCCCCTACTGTTAAAAATGGTACCTTCTGGGCTGGCCCCATGGCTTAGCCGTTAAGTGCGTGCGCTCCACTACTGGTGGCCGGGTTCGGAACCCCAGGCGCGCACCAACACACCATTTCTCCACATACAGCAACTAGAAGGATGTGCAACTATGACATACAACTATCTACTGGGGCTTTGGGGAAACAAAGGAGGAGGATTGGCAATAGATGTTAGCTCAGAGCCGGTCTTCCTTAGCAAAATAGGAGGATTAGCATGGATGTTAGCTCAGGGCTGATCTTCCTCACACACACTCACAAAAAAATGGTACCTTCTGATAAAATCTTGAAAAACAAAAACAAAAAGTATGAAACAAAAACAAAATTCATTCCTTTTGAATTCCAGGGATGGGCTTTACCAACAAATTTATTGCTGAAGAACATTGCATAACCTTTCAAAATAAAATTTCCAAAGCTAACGGCCCATCTTTCTGGTTGATTGTCACATCTTTTCTAAACATAATCCAATTGGAAATTAATTCAGACAAGTAGAAGAGTAGGTGTGACCTGAGGCAGCAGTGTATTAAAGGCTTCGTTCACCTCTTTAAGTGGAAGAGGTAGGGCTGATCCATGAGGCCTTAGGAGAATCACTTTCATTTCTTTTTATCAGCACCAAACTAGGTGA